AAGGCCCCGCTCCCCCGTCTCGCCCTGGACCAGGAGGACGCCCCGAGCCAAGCGGCCCCGATAATGCGGCCCAGCGCGACAGCGAGCCCAAGCGCAGTCCTGGACAGGCAGGGCGTACGCCTATCCAGCAGGCTCTTGCAGCGAGCCTGTACTGGTCCACAAGATTCGGCCGACGACGACGACGACGACGACGACGACGACGACGACGACGACGACGACGGAAAGGACACGAGCACAGAAGGGGGGGAACGAACGACGAGGCGACAGGGGAGAGGGTAATTACCTAAGCAGAGTGTACCACCCGAGGGTTTCCCCGGGACCAGTCTCTCCTGCAGTCCTGTGTTCGACGGCCTTCAGGAAGCCCGACCACGGCGAAAACTCCTGGGGTCTCTCTCCACGGGACCCCCATGCCTGCTCGTGGCGACCCACAGGTCGGAGGAGATGAAGAGTGAAACCCCCCTCCCGCGCCCCTTCCGCCTGTGCCGCCGGCCCCTCCCCACTCCTCCCCTGTTCCCGTCCCTGCCCGGGGCCCCCCCCAGACCAAGACACTGCGAACCAGGACGTGTTTTAAACTCCCCCTGTCGGCGGCGAGGGAAGGGGGGGGGAAATGATCAGGAGAAGGCCTTCTCAGAAGGCGGCGGGACCTCTCGGAAGCCCTCGCGCCCTCTGAGAAGTTTCTGCTTGTCTGTCTTCCGGAAGGCCTGGAGAAAAACTTCTCAGAAGGCCCGGGGGACTTCCGAACCTCCTCAGGAAGCCTTCTCCCTCGCTCGGCGGTGGACAAACCTCCCTTTCGTAAACCGACAACGGCCTAGTCACTAATCGACGTGGCAGGGTAGGAGGTCTACCAAACTCCGATTCTCGCGTCCCCCCCCTCGCTCGCCGCCGACCCTGGAGGGAGCGCAGCCTGCAGAATGCCTCGACCCACGGCCGCAGCCTCCTCGTGCGCGCCACTGCCCTGGCTCGGGGAGGAGGAGGAGGAGGAGGAGGAGGAGGAGGAGGAGGAGGAGGAGGAGGACGGAGGAGGAGGGGAGGAGGAGGAGGAGGAGGAGGGGGAGGGGAGGGGGAGGGGGAGGAGAGAGGGAGGAGGAGGAGGAGGAGGAGGAGGAGGAGGAGGAGGAGGAGGAGGAGGAGGAGGAGGAGGAGAAGGAGGGGCCTGCCCCGCCCTTGGCCCCTGCCCGGCTGCCCCCGCCGCCGCCGCCGCCTCCCGGCTGTGCCGCGCCACTCGTGGAGAGCAGAAAACCCGCCCCCGGAATAATCACCCCGACACGCGAGGTCGTCCAGCAAACGCACCCAAGAGAAGAATTAAGCAGGGCAGGGCTGCCTGGCAAACGCCCCGCCGGGCCGTGCAGCAGACGCCAAAAAATGACCGGGTCCAGGCGGTCTCTCCTCCCTCGAGCTCGGAGCACGGTGAGCTGAGACAACGGCAGTTCAACATTCGGGCCGGACGAAGGGGGGGGGATAGCAAAGGGGGGGTTTGAGGATCAGCTCACGTAGCTGATTTTCCCGGCGCCTCTCGGCGCCGGGAGGCGGCCACGTATCGAAGAATGGGCCCCTCGGTGGGGCCGAAACCAGCTGCTAGCAGCAGATTTCGTAACCCCCCCTTTCCCTATCCCCCCCTTTCGTCCGGCCCGAAACATCGGCCGCCGGATCCCTCCTGCGGCCCAGACGCACCAGTTCTCCAGCAACGTCCAGCCGTGGCGACGAAGGGGGCCCCCCGAGGGCCAACTGCTATTAAGTCGGACCCCTACAAGCCGATTTTGAACGAAAAATAAAAAATACCCTAAAAATGCCCTAAAAATAATCAAAAATGGTCAAAAATAGTCCCCATACTATTTTTGTTGCTATTTTTTACTTTTCCCCCTATAGAGGGACAGGCCCGACTTAAAACTGCTGCTGCCTCGACGCGGCCTCCTCGGATCCGCTCCCTGCGTGGCCTCTCCCCGCGCCCGCCCGCCGCCGAGACCATCGAGCCGCTCCTCGTGGGAGAGCAACTGTCGTCCCTATCCTTAAGCCGGGCGTGTCCCCCTACAGGGGTACTTTCGACGAAAAAGAAAACACACCCAAAAGATTCCCCCAAATGGCCAAGAAATGCTTGCAAAATAGTCCCCCGACTATGTTTTGACGATTTTTGAATATGAAGGGGCCCTGGGACACACAAATAAATTCACACAAATCAAAATATTCCCCATCTTTTCCCATATTTTCTGGGTCTTCGTCTTCCCCCCCACTTCCCATATTTTCCCATATTTTCTGGGGGATCGCCGATGAATCGTGTCTGTGTGCTTCTTTCCCTCCTGAGAATCTTCCCCCGGTAGAGGGACAGGCCCGACTTCACCCCACCCGCGGCCTCGCAGGCCGGGCCCCAGGATGCCGGGGACTCTTTTTTTAGCCAACAGTAACGCACTTCGTGGTCTTCGAGTTCCCAGAACTCCATTCCCGGGGATGATTTTGAATGCCCGGAGCCAACTGTAGCCCACTTCGCGGTCTTCGAGTTCCCAGAACTCCATTCCTAGGCATGATTTTGAATGCCTGGAGCCAACTGTAGGCCACTTCGTGTTCTTCGAGTTCCCAGAACTCCATTCCTGGGCATGATTTTGAATGCCCAGGCCGCGACCCCGCGCGCGCGTGGCGCTTCCGCGCGGCTGCCCCGCGCGGCGCGCCCCCGTGCGACCGCGCCTCCTCCGCGGGCCTCGCGCCCTGGAGCTGGGCGCCGCCGCCGCCGCCCGCGAGCCGGAGCCGCCCGCCGAGCGGCGCGCCAGGAAGGGCCCGCCCGCACGCGGCCGCGCGAGGCCCGTGCTCTCGTCTGTAGTGCCGAGAACATGCCTGCAGGCTTAGACCAAGGGCTTCTTCAGAAGCCAAGGGCTTTTCATTAATTCATTAATCAGGCTGATAAGGCAGGGCAGGGCAGGGCCTTTCCAGATTAATTCAGGCTTCTTGGCTTCTGTAGTGCCAACGACCAGGGCTTCTTCAGGCAGCCGTGCTTCTCGGACCCCTTCCCGATCAATTAAAAAAATGGGAGAGGACGATTGAAAAAATAGCTTTCTGCTATGTCTGCACAAGTCTCTGACTGGAGGAGAACGATAAAAAAATGGTTTGCCAGCCCGCAGCCAGTTTTTTCTAATCGTCATCCCGGGCGCCGCCGCGTGAACACGACCCCCGGTCATTCATTAATCGTCATCCTCCATTACGGTGGCTGCCCAGCTCGCCAGGGCCTCCTGTGGGATGCTCCAGGCGGGCCTACCGCGGGGGGGTCTGGGACTGGTGGGCTTTGGCTGGGGAGACGGGCAGCGGTGATGAGGCCTTGGACTCTGCGCCCCAGGGAGCGAGAATCCTTTGCCGGGCCGTGTTTGCTCCGCCGCCAGGCGACGAAAAATCTTTGACGGGGTCACGACGCGCCAGGAGGTCCTCCTGGCGCGTCGCGACCTGTCGCTCAACGCGCGCGGGGGCCGCGAGGCCTCTCCGCGCCCCCCTCCGCCGGCGACGCGCCCGAAGTGGCCCCATGGCAAGAGCGAGCTCGCGTGCGGGACCCGCGGGAGCCGCCGGGAGGCCGGGCCCCAGCGCGCTCGGGCTGCTGCGATCGCAGCGTGCCCCCATCCCCTGGGGGCCCCACAGGTGCGCCCGCACCGAGAGGTCACCCCGGCGACAGGTCACTCTCACGCGTGGCCCGACTTCCGATCCGGGGGGGGCCACCCATTTATTTGAAGGGGCCCTGGGACACACAAATAAATACACACAAATAAAAAGATCCCCCATACTTTCCCATATTTTCTGGGTTTCTGTCCTCCCCCCCACTTCCCATATTTTCCCATATCTTCTGGAAAATCGAGGATCAATTGTGTCTGTGTGTTTCTTCCTCTCCTGATTATTTGGCACACCTGGCCTCCCCGGCCCGGCTGCGGGCCCCGATGGCCACCACGGCTCGATCTCCGGCGGCGTCGTCGGCTCTCGGGGCCCTCCGGGGGCGGCGGCCGCCTCCTCGTCCCGGACCCCCCTTGGAGAGGCCCACGGCGGGGCCCAAATCGCCACGCACGCCGCGAGCGCGGGGAAAATGTTTTTTTCTCCAACTCAGCAACGCAACGAAAGCTGTACACAGTTTTGACGCAACGAACGCAGCGCAACGAACGCACAGTTAGCTCTTTTTGTTTGCGTAGGTTTGTCCAGCGTGAACATCGATGGGGCGGAAACTCGGGCAGTTATCCCGGCGCTTGGAGTGCGGGGAAAATGTATGTACGATGCCCAGCAGCAGGCGGTGCCCCAAACCGACAGCGGCCACACCATTGGGCAGGCGACCTTCTGTCTCGAGTGCACAGAGCCCGCGGCGAGACCGGCAGCGGTTCTTGCTCAGCATGGGCAGGAACTGCTGTCGGTCTTCGCCCCCATTCTTCCACCCATCTCGATCGTGCAGACCAGAGACCGGCCCCGAGACCGAAGGCGGCCAAGGAACTCTGGCACGACCCCCCCCCCGAGCCTCCAAAAAATGCCAGGGTCCCTGGGGGGAGGAGCCTCGCGGCGTCAGACGATGGGCAGGCTGGCTCGAGGGGAGCGCGCCCACGGCAAGCTGGCCGGGCCGAGGCCCCGGCAGACGGCCCAGTCGCCAGTGACCGGCAGCGCCATGTAGCCGTTGACCTCCTTGAGGCCCGCCTTCTGCATCAGCAGCAGCGCCCAGCCTGAAGATCGACCCTGAGATCCGGGCGTTTCACCTGCTCCACGCCAGGCGATTTCGCCCGATCGATCCAGTCCGAAAAATACCGCACACAGAGAAGGCCTGGGGATTGGGCTGTGATTTTCTTCTACGTCGCATCTCTTTCGCAATGCCGGATCTCAGGGGAGGTTCGGGCGTCGAGGAGCCAGGGTTTTTGGGGGGCCTGCGGAGGCCTCCAGAGTCCAGAGCCTCTCTGGGCAGCACCAGGGCCTCCGAAGGTCTCCACGAACCCCAAGAGGCCTCTGGGATCTCCGATCCAGAACTCTGGCGACCAGGGCGACTGCTGAACAACTACAGCAAAACTGCCGGACGCGCTGTTGCTGCCAGTACTGGGGTGCCACGCGCTTCGTGGCGACTCCGAAAAAATCATGCGCACGTTGGCAACGGTCGGTCCTTTTCAGGACTCGGTTCAGTGTGACCTGGTTCGGTGATGTGGAGGAGGAGGAGGAGGAGGAGGAGGAGGAGGAGGAGGAGGAGGAGGAGGAGGAGGGGGAGGGGGCGCCCCTCCGCCCCAGCCCACTGACTGGAGCTGCCGCCGCCCGAAGAATACGCGCTGCGGCAGACCTGGTCTGGAGACTCCGGCATGATGCTGTCGGCTTCGGGCGCCTGCCACTGAGCGGCTCTCCCTGCCCAGAGCCCTGGCGGAACCCGAAACGGGAAGAGGAAGGGGAAAGTGGGGATGCCAGTTGAACTTCCTGGAGCTGCGGCGGTCGCGCATGAGAGGATCTCGTCTGGATTGCACATGGGCGTCGTGCGGCTTTCGTGTTGGTGCTGACCGAACATGTGCCACGATGTCGCCCGGACAATAAGGAGATGCTGTGGAAGTGTAGGATATGCCGGGCAGCATGGAGACTCTCAATGTTATCGCCTCCTCATCATCATCTCATCATCATCCTCATCCTCATCATCATCATCATCATCATCATCATCATCATCATCATCATCATCACCATCAGCATCATCATCACCATCCTCATCATTCTCATCCTCATCCTCATCATCATCAGCAGCATCATCATCAGCAGCAGCAGCAGATCATCATCATAATAATCAGCATCATCATCAGCATCAGCATCATTCCTCCTCCTCCTCCTCCGCCTCCTCCTCCTCCTGCTCCTCCTACGTACTAGTCGTCCTTCCTCTTCCTCATTATCCTCCGCATCATCCCTCCCTCCCTCCCTCCCTCCCGCCCTCCTGCCCTCCCTCCCTCCCTGCTCATACTTCTCTCTTATCCTTTTTTGTCCTCCTTGTCTTCCTCCTCCTCCCCCTCCTTACTCCACCTCCTCCTCATCCTCCTCCTTCTCCTCCTCATCCTCCTCCACCACCTCCACATCCACATCCACCTCCACCTCCACCTCCACCTCCACCTCCTCATCCACCTTCTCGTCATCCTCGTCATCCTCCCCCTTTCTCCCTCATCTCCCTCCTTCTCTCCCTCTTCCCTTGACCAAGGAGGAAGGAGGAGAGAGGAGGGAAGAGGGAGGGAGACAGGGGCAGGAGGGAAGAGGAAGCATCAAGGGAAGGGGGGAGCGGGGCAAGGGGGAGGGAGTGCACGAGGGGAAGAGCTCTCCAAAAGTAGAGGCGGCGGGTGCGTCCCCGTCACCGAGAAATGCAGCTGAAACGCTGGAACTGGCAGACGGACTGTGAGAGCCCCCACCACGGAAACAAGCACTACGCCTCAATTCATTACTCCTCAGAGCTCAGACGGCTCGATTTTCCCCAGACCCCTCTGAACCAATTCCCTGGGACCAGCTTCCATTCCCAGGTGTTTTGTTCGAATTGTCTGGTGCCCAGACAAGACACTCAAGGGCATGAAAAATAGACCAACCCCTGCACGCGACTGCTTCCCGTCGCCAGAGGCAAAGGCATGGAAGCGAATACGCCGGTTCAGTGCATCACTATTCGGCGGCCGTGCCTCCCGCGCCCACGTAGAGAAATGGCGTCTTGTATACTATGATGCCGCGGCCCGTGCTCGCGTTCTTCGTGGTGACGATCCACTTGCCGTCCTGGGACACCGTCGGACCGCAGTGCCTAGGTCACCTGACTTCGCGCTTCGCGCCGAGTGAAGTGCGAGGCGCGATTCTCTTCGCATGCTCGCGCGGCCCCCACTGAAAAAGGCAGCTCCCTGGCCCACAGCGCGGAGCGCGGCTCACTTCCCAACCGTGCGAGTGACCTATGAGTATCCACGCACAGGCACACCAAGACGTATCTGGCCTCGTCGTCCCAAAACGAATGATTCCCATAAATCCCGACCTCTCCATACGATACATGACTGTCTTAGTCCCGACCTTCTATCCCTAACTATCCGCTTGATTAAACTGCACCTCAAATCCGCAAAGATCATGCTGGTAGGCAACCCCGCGAGACAGCAGCGAACAAACTCTCACAGGCGTGCCGACTCGCAGAAATGAGGCCACGTGGCACATACGTGAGTTACCCTCAATAACGTCATTAAATCACATCCACTCGCATTCTGAATACCAGAGAAGCGCACACAACGAAAAACATACTGCAATACATCACAACAATCTCCACTGCATCGCTGTATCTCGCATTACACCACCCAACCGTGCGTTGCAATTCAACGCGGTACAGACGATGCACTACACCTACATCGTAATAAAATTCACTGCCAAACGGGGCAACACACCATACAGAATGACTACAGCGATTTGCGAAACAACACGCAAGCCCGTTATAGCACTTCACACTATGTTACAACACAATACAGCAAAACCCAATACATGTCTGCATGCAGGAGTCGACAAGTACAGACATACAGGCATACCGGCTGAAGGGCGTCGAAACATTAAATCATACAGAACACGGAGCGTGAAAAGAGGCGCCATGTCGAAGTGCGTACACCCGGAAGTACGAATGCACATGCTCAGTATCTAGCGCATGCACCTGCACACAACATACAAAACTTGATGTCACTGTATGTGGTGTTGGTCTGCACCGCAGACGGCCACAATACAAGCATAGCAGCACGTGCCCCGAAAGATGCACCAACCTTCCTACATGCATACACATAGAAGCGTTTGAGCGTGTGTACGGTTATGCGTCCTTGCGTGCATGTGTGTGGAAGAACACATGCCTGATGCCTCTAGGACTTGAGCAACCCATGCACTTACTTCACACGGCAAATTGCTGCAGAACTGGACGCCGTCCTGCAACACACGACTGGAGCGAATCGCATCACATCGTGTCACGTCTCATCATGAACCTTTCAAAAAAAAAACCGTCCTAAAACCTCCCTCAGGGAGAATCCAGGATTCCTGGAACCTTCCAAAAAACTCTCCTGAAACCCTCCTCCGGAAGACTCCAGGACTCCTGGAACCTTCCAAAAAAAACTTCCTGAAACCCCTGCTGGCTACACCGCAGGAGTACACAGATGCATGCGCGAAAACGTGCGTGCACCTCCTGCTTCGCCGGGCCGGTCCTTGTCTTTCTTGACGTCGGTGACCGAGGTGTAGAGGCGCAGGTCGCCACCCAGCTTCATAAAAGACTGCACCTGTGCCTGGCGCAGGAGAAAGCCGACTGAAGAGCGAGGTGGGCGAGAGAGACAACGGGTGGGATAGCTGGGAGCTCCATGTATATATATATATATAACAGCACACTAAATATGTATGTATATATATACATACATATATACATATAGATATACACAGAAATAAACACACTATATATGTATACCATGAATGCAGCACACTGTATATAATATACCTATAAACAAAAACACACAAAAAAAACAATAGCATAAGGAAAAACTTGACATCCTGCCTTATCATCGAGGGCAGTGTGGTTGGACGTCGAGATCATGAAGGGCGGCGCGCTGCCTTGTTGGGAACTTCGGCCATCGAGGACCAAGAACAAATGTTCGCGTGCTGGCACGACATGCCCTCTGGTGTGTTCCGCGGAGCAGCGTGGGTTGCGCATAGCGCGCGCCGACGAGACCAAATGTGAAGGATTTTGACTGCGGGTTGGTCGACTGCGCATGGAAGCCAATATGGCAGTAGAGTATAAAACTAGTAGGCTCGCAGACTAGCCAAGCAGTACAGTAGCAGAGCAGTGGACAACTTATCTAAAAGAGCAGTACACGAGTAGAGCGCGTACCTAGAAGAGTAGTACACTAGTTCAGAGGTTGAACGAAAGAGAAGTAAAGACATGGATCACCAGAGTAGCGGGCGGATCCTAACGGGCCTTAAGGGCGGGTGAGGCGGGCAGGCCCCAACAGGCAGGTCGGGCAGGGGACCCCAAGGCGAGAACACGATTTCTGATTCAGGTGATAGAAATCCCCTGCCAGAGCACGACTCCTGAGCAGCGAGAGCCCGGCGCCTGAGTGAATCCCACCAGGCCTTTAGGGCGCGAGTGATTTAGAGGTTTTCCGCTTCCATCTTCCCACGTCCCCTCCCTGTCAAAAATCAACACGGAATGCACTTTGCCTCCACATCTGGAGCATGCGCGGGCGCCCCGCTACCACTTTGCAATGGTTTTTGACAAAGACGGCGGGGTGCCGTCATATTGCTCGCTGCGCGCAAGCCAACCATCCCTGCCCCCAAAAAATGATAGCGGAGAAAAAAGACAATCTGAATATTTTAGGGCTATAGGGCTATGGGGCTATAGGGATATAGGGCTACAGGGCTATGGGACGATAGGACTGTAGGGCTGTAGGGTTTTTGAGCTGTAGGGCTATAGGGCTAGAGGGCTGTAGGGCTATAGGGCTATAGGGCTATAGGGCTTTAGGACTATAGGATTATGGGGCTATAGGGCTATAGGGCTATAGGGCAATAGGGCTATAAGGCTGTAAGGCTATAGGGCTTATCAAGGCTATAGGGCTATTGGGCTATAAGGCTACAGGGCTATTAGGGCTACAGGGCTATAGGGCTATAGGGCTATAGGGCTATAGGGCGATAGGGCTATAGGGCTATAGAGCTATAAGGCTATAAGGCTTCAGGGCTATAGGGCTATAGGGCTATAGGGCTTTGGCACCCCCGGGCACCTCTGGGTACCCCCGGGCACCTCTGGGCACCCCCGGGCACCCGGGCACCCGGGCACCCGGGCACCCCCGTGCACCGGGCACCCGGGCACCCAGGCCAGCCACCGATATCGGCGGCGAACCTCACCTGACCAAATGAATCCGCTAGGACCCCTACAGAGGCAAGCTCTGATTGGGGAATACGGCAAGACGGACTGCACTTTGCCCCTACATCTGGAGCATGCGCGGGCGCCCCGCGACCACCTTGCATCTGTTTTTGCCAACTGAAGCAACTTCGGGAAAATGAGGCGGGGGAGGCGGGGGCGTTGCTGCTTTCGTGCGGGAGCCAAGGGCGCAGCTTGAGCACCAAAACGCGCTGTCCGATAAAAAACAGAGCGCGAGAGCTGAAAAGGGCCATTCACTGATAAAAAACACCATGCCAGCTGGTTGCAGGGAACAAAACTAAATACTCTGCAGGGGACAGAGACAGAGACAGAGACACAGATAAACAAAGAGATAACGAGACAAAGAGACAGAGACGGAGACAGACAGAGACGTAGAGAGACAGAGAGACAGAGAGACAGAGAGACAGACAGACACAGACAGAGAGATAGAAAAAAAAACATTGAAAAAATACGCCGTCAAGAGCGTGCGCGCAGCCCTGGCTAGAGCGTCGCAGAAAACGCCATGCTTGTTCCTGCTCCTCGTCCTCATCCTCGTCCTCCTCTTCCTCCTCCTCCTCCTCCTCCTCCTCCTCCTCCTCCTCCTCCTCCTCCTCCTCCTCCTCCTCCTCCTCCTCCTCCTCCTCCTCCTCCTCCTCCCTGGCATCGCCAGCGCATCGGGGATCCGTCGGAGCCACGCGAGAGACAGCGCCTGGCGGCCCAGCGCAGCGCTCTTGCCATCCGCGTGGCATCCTCCGCGCGAGGGCGCGGCCCTCCCCCCGTGCGGGGGGCGCGGCCCTCGTGAGGGCGCCGAAGTCCACGTCGGTGCCGTATCTCATCCTGGTCATGCAGGTCTTCTCGCTCGGCTCGCGGCCCTCCGTGATCAGGGGCGCCCACTCCTCACGCGGGCGGCAGCAGGGAGCAGGGAGGAGAGAGGATGAGGAGGAGGAGGAGGAGGAGGAGCAGGGAGGAGGGAGGAGGAGGAGGAGGAGGAGGAGGAGGAGGAGGAGGAGGAGGCCAGGAGGGAGGAGCGAGGAGGAGGGAGAAGGGACGGGGTACAGGAGGAGTGAGAAGAGAGGGGCGAGGGAGGCAGAGGAGCAGCAAGGGAAGAAGGGAGGGATGAAGGATGGGAGATGGGGGATGGGTGAGGAGGAGGAGGAGGAGGAGGAGGAGGAGGAGGAGGAGGAGGAGGAAGGGGGGAGGAGGAGGAAGGGGGGAGGAGGAGGAAGGGGGGAGGACGGGCCTCGGGGCGCCGATGGAGGCCCAAGGGGAGGCAAGGTCCCCCAGGGATCGACCTAACCAGTGTTTCGTTTTCGTTCGTTCTCCCTCGTGTTGTCTTCAATCCGCCTTTGCTGCAAAAGGAAATCGAAACGAAAACGGCCCACGAGATCGCCAAAAAAACACCATCTAGGTCGACCCCTGCCCCCCCCCCTCCTCCTCCCCCTCACCAACGTACTGAGAGCAAAAGCTTGTGGTCTGCAGCGAAAACGAGCTCGCAACTGCTGCACGGTGGGCGTTGCGGGCGCGAGAACGGCTGGTTGCATACGGCTGAACCCACAGCGGAGCGCAAGCCGCTCCTTCTGCTTCTGCAAGTCGCCTGGCGTATCTGGCGTGGCGAGCTCCATGGAGCTGAACCTCAGTTGCCGTATGCTGGCACTCCATGATCCTGCTACTTCTGTTGCCGCTTCCATTTCCTTCTCCTCCTCCTCCTCCTCCTTCTCCTCCTCCTCCTCCTCTTCCTCCTCCTCCTCCTCCTCCTGCCGATCCTCCTCCTCCTCCTTCTCCTCCTCCACCTCCTCCTTCTCCTCCTCCTCAGGTTCCCGCACTCATCCTCTCACCTCCTCCCGCGCTCGCTGGAGCGCGCGCGGGGTGATGGGGGGAGGGAAAAGGGCGGTGCGCGCGTGAGCGCGGGCGAAGGAGTGCTGAGGAAGAGAGACAGAGACCGAGAGAGGGAGGGCTAGACGAGGAAGGGTGGAGAGGGAGGAAGAGGAGGAGGACGACGACGATGACGACGACCCTCTAGTCATCTTCCTCCTCCTCCTCCTCCACCACTTGCCACTCCTCGTAGACGGTGTGGCAAGTAAGTTCTGCCAACCCGCGCGATCAAAAAGAAACATGAGCGGCCGAGGGCGGTGCAGCCCAGACGGGTGGTTCTTCATGGCCGCGTAGCGGTCCTTGATGAACTGAACCTGGTCCTCGCCGGATGCCGAAGTAAAGCGTGTGATCCTCCTTCGTCTCCGCCTCCCTCTCATCCCCCTCCTCCTCCTCCTCCTACTCCTCATCCTCCTGCTCCTCCTCCTCCTCCACCTCCTCCACAGCATCTTCTTCCCCCTCGCCTCCCTCTCTCATCCATCCCTCCTCCTCAGAAGCAGATACCCCACGTCGCACCTGTAAACGCGTCTGTAGGGCGGGCCAGGCGTTTCGCCTGAGACTTCCGCACAGCTTGTGATCCTGAAGCTTCGAATGTCCAACGGCAAAACGGATGGAAGGGGAATATGTTCGAAATGTGTCTTTTGCCTCATCGCCGCGCACACTCCTCGTGAAAGCTTCAGACAGCTACAAGGATTGAAGGTGGGTCGTTCGTACTACGGGGCTCTCGCCATGGGGCCGCGCAAGTTCGTCTTAGAAGCCTCCGGCAGCTGCAAGGATGAAGGGCGGGTCGCGTTCAATATGCGGCTGCCGCCCCCGCGCCACGCACGTTATCTGCAAACGCTTCCAAGAGCCACCAGGATCGATGGAGGAAGAGGAGGAGGAGGAGGAGGAGGAGGACGAGGAGGAGGAGGAGTCCTCGCAAAAGGAGGGTCTCTCGCCCTCGCGCCGCCTCCACTCCTCGCAAATGCCTACGTGCCGCAGCTACCAGGGACGAGAGGCGCGTCGTGTTCCGAACAGAGCGCGCCAGTGCAGCGCACTTCTCTTCTGCCAGCCTCCGCCAGCAACCCGGACAGGTGGCGAATGGCCTTCACCATGTGGCCATCGCCTTCGCATCACGCACCTGCGGGCATCCAAAGCCCCCCAGCAAGCACAAAGATGGAGGGCGGGTGGTGCTCGGCATGTGACTCTCGCCTCGGCGCCGCGCACATCCGCCTTCGGCGGCCCGGCGCTTGCGAGGAGGGACGGCGGCTCCTTCCTGCACGGGGGCTCTCGCTTGAGGCTCCCTCGAACTGTGCGCTCGCGCGCGCAGAGCTGCGCACCAGCTGTACGCGTGGAGGGCGGTGTGCTCTCGAAATGGGGGCTCCCGCGCTGGGCGTCCTGGCGTGCCGCGGCCGGGAAGGGCGCGGGTGCGTGCGACACCCGCCCGGACGGAGGGCGCCGCACTCTCGGAGTGGCGCCCTCGCCCGGCGTGCCCCCACGCCCGCTCGGCGACGGGCGTGACGCTGTGCAGCAGCTGCGCCGGCCGAGGGCGGCTCCGTGTCGAGCAGGGGCTCACGCGGGGCACGTCCTCGAACTGCATGCTCTCGCTTCTTCGCACGGCTGGCAGCTCGAGCATGACGGGCGGGTCCATTTCCAAGCGGTGCTCCTGGCTGGTGGGCATGCCCGGTCGGCACTCGTCCTTCAGGGGCGCGCTTTCCGCAGTGAAAAGGAATGCCTGTAGAGACTTACAAGGAGGGGACTTCGGACGGGCCCTGTGTTGCATCCTAGGTTTGCACAGGCCATCCTCGTAATTACCCTCCTTCTCCTCCTATTCTCATCACTCCCGTCAACAGCATCATCAGCAGCAGCAGTGATATCATCATCGCCATCATCATAATCATAACCACCATCACCATCATCATCACCATCATCCTCAGAACCATAATCAAGATCGTCATCATCATCATCATCATCATCATCATCATCATCAGCATCATCATCATCATCATCATCATCATCATCATCATCATCATCATCATCATCATCATCATCATCATCATCATCATCATCATCATCATCATCATCGTCGTCATCATCATCACCATTATCATCTTCATATTCATCTTCATATTCGTCATCATCATCACCAACATCATTAAACTCAGCATCGTCATCGTTGTCGTCGTCGATATTGACATCATACGCATCATGGTCATCATCAGTATCACAGTATGCATCATCAGCAGCAGCACCATCATCATCAGCATACAATCATCAGGAGCAGCAGCAGCATCATCATCATCATCGTCGGCATGGTCAGCATCGTCACCGACGTCGTCGTCTTCCTCATAATAATCAGCATCCGCATCAGCATGATCATCATCATCAGCATCAACGTCATCATCGTCATCATCGTCATCGTCATCGTCACCGCCATCGCCATCATCATCGTCAGCAGCATCACCACCGCCACCATCATCAGCATGATGATCATCATTATCATCATCATCATCATCATCATCATCATCAGCAGCAGCAGCATCATCATCAGCATCATCATCCTCATCATCCGATTTACCGCCACCGCCACCATCATCAGAATCACAACCACCACCATCACCACCACCATCATTATCATCATCAGCGTCGTCAGCGTCATCAGCGTCAGTATCATCAACATCATCATCACCATCATCATCAGCAGCATCATCATCATCGTCATCATCATCAGTATCATCAGCATCAGCATCGTTATCATCAGCAGCATCATCCGTATCAGTGTCCTTCCTCACCTAATCCTTGTCTTCATCATCCTCGCATCATGGTCTCAGCATGCTGCTCCTCATCATCATCATAAGTATGCGCATCCTCCTACCACTCATGGTCAGCATCACTATCATCATCATCATCATCATCATCCTCATCATCATCATCATCATCATCATCATCATCATCATCAGCATCAGCATCAGCATCAGCATCATCATCAGCAGTATCATCATCATCGTCATCGTCTTCGTCATCACAATCAGAATCATCATAATCATCAGCAGCAGCATCATCCTCATCATCAACACCACCGCCATCATCATCATCATGACCTCCTTCCACCTCGTCGCCTCCTCCTCCTCCTTAACCTCCTCATCCTCCTCCACCTCCACCTGGTCCTCGCCGATGCCGAGGGCGATGTGGTCGGTCTGGTGGATGAATGTGCTGGGCTCGGGCAGCAGGCCTGGAGGGTCTGGCAGGGAGGCGTGGCGGCAGGGGAGGGTCTGGCCAGAGCCGTCGACAGGGGCCCTCTGCCACGCGCTCGCTGGGACAACCTCCCGCTGCTCTTGCCGTGCAGGAGCCCACCGCCACAGGCTTCGTGCGCGGGTTCGCAAGCACAAACACTCCTCGCATCACCCCTCACTCCTTACACCCCCACCCCTGCCATCCCAGCCCCTCCCTGTCCCCTTTCCATCGCCTCTCATCATGCCGTCTTCCCTGTCTCGTCCATTCGACAGGCGTGCGAGAGGCGGCACAAGGCGAACCCTTCTTGCACAGGTACGTCCAGTAGATGCGGCTGCTCATGAACTGCTGGCAGATGTGGAAGACCTCGCTCGATTCTGCTCCACCCACCTTTAGTGCCTCCTGTGATCCCTAGCCTTTGCGGGTCGTGCAACGCACCGAAGGCCAAGAACATTGAAAATAAGATGTTTAGAACACGCGGGAACCCTTGGGTGCTCACACATGCTAGCAAGCAGGAACCCCAAACAGTGCGCTGCTAGCCATCATCTTGGGTGTCTTGAGGGCGATCTTAGGGGGGGGTGGGACCGCTGGGGACCTGTGGGCTCCTCTGGAGCCCTTCTTGGAAGCAGGTTGGGCCGCCTTGAGGGCACATCGGGACGTCTTGAAGCTCACAGCACGGGCGTCGGCCCGGGGATGACGCCGCGGCGGCCCAAAAACTGACGCGACGACGACGACGACGCCGACGACGACGACGACGACGACGACGACGACGACGACGACGACGACGACGTCAAGGACACGAGCACAGAGGGCGGAACGAACGACAGGGCGACAAGGGAGAGGAACGAAACGCAGGGCCATTCTGGACCGCGCGCCCTCCGTGACGCCGTTGTCTGAGCCCGGCGGCAGCGACCAGTGGCCCGTGAAACGAGGAGGCGGAGGGGGACGGGTGAGGAGGAGGAGAAAGCAGCGAATTGACGCGGACACGCAGGGAAAAGCAACGAACAGACGCGGACATGCGGACTCCCGCGTACCGTCCTGCTCGCCTCTGGGGCCGGGTGAGACGAACCTTGGCATGATACGAAGGAAAATCGCCCAACTTGATCCCTGCGAAGAGTCAAACAATGCTAGGGGTTCACGCATACGCGTCCCACAGTCTCAAATTGCCTTTACATTTAGCACAATACCGCTGCATTGGCGCATCGCCTCTCCGCCCAGTTCGGAACATCCCTTATGTACGGATCGAGCCTCACGGAGAGCTCCGACTACGGCCCCAGAGACTGCGTTCGCATCGCGTCTCCCCGCCCTCTTCGTAGTTCGGGTTTCGCGAGGTGGGCTGAAGAGAACTGAACTACCGACAGAGTCGCCCGAGCAACGAGATGTCAGCTTATTCGCAGTGGTGGAGGACATGTGACTGGCCAATGTGAGCGAGGGGATGAGGATCTTCTGCTGACAGTTTCAGCCTCAGAAGCTTGACCCGCCGAATGGGAGAACCGCACGCGCTGCTCCGCCTACAACGCAGCGCTGCTGTCAATCAGCAGGGCGGCGCTATCGGGAGCCGCGAGGAGGAGGAGGAGGAGGAGGAGGAGGAGGAGGAGGAGGAGAGGAGGAGGAGGAGGAGGAGGAGGAGGGGTAGGAGGAGGAGGAGGAGGAGGAGAAGGAGGAGGAGCAGGAGGAGGAGGAGGTGGGGAGGAGGAGCAGGGTCTGACGCCTCCGCCCGTGAGTACCGAGGCCTGCGCAAAAAGAAGGGGATGAAGAGCAAGCTGGAAAATCAGCCCCTCGCCCTGGACGTCCAGCAGTCTCGTCGCAAGGCTGGCACACTTCTGGCAAGGGCTGCCCGCTAATCTCTCCGGACGAGGGACAAACCACAAGCGAGAGGGCCGATCTTGTATGATGCATGCGCACAAGATGTCATATTGCATGCACTATTGCGCACATGCTTGTGGCCCCCTTGGCAGCCATGCGGAATTGGAGAGTGAGGTCAAGACACCTTGCCCACTCGCGGCAAGGTTGCGGTCCAGGCCTCCCGTCTAAAAGATCAACGTGCACCGCCGGGTGGCTGAGGACTTTCACTATCCACAGACTCCGCCGTTTGCCAAAGTCCCCACAGATCGATCCCACAGGCGTGATTACGGATGATTCCCCGCGTCGGATGAGGATGAGCTGTGTTTTTTGCACATGTTGCAAAAAAATGCCACCCTGGCAATGAATCCTTCCTCTTGGAAATTACCAAGCCCCACGCCTCCTTAGCCACGACGTTTTCCGACCCGTGGGCCCATGGGCTCTCGACCCCCTCCCATGGAGATTCACTCGCTTTCCGGGCAAACGCCTGCGGGCAAGCAAAGACAAGATTAGCGCCACGCAGGTCCGACGACCCCGTCAGTGTCCTTCTGTTGAGAAAGAGCCAGGGCTTTGCACAAACGGCGAAGGAGTAACACGCAGCTCCGCCTACACCGCAGCGCTGCAGTGAATCAGGAAGACGGCGGTATCGGGAGCCGCGAGAAGGAGGGACGAGGGGGAGGGGGGACGAGAAGGATGAGGAGGAGGAGGAGGAGGAGGAGGAGGAGGAGGAGAGGA